AGTTTTTTTCATAAAGGATAGAAGTAATTGTAAGTTTTGTTCTTTTTTTCTTCATTATGATCATAAAAATCATGTAATCAATTTCACTTAATCGTTTTATTCTTAGATGAATCAAGGTTATACACGGAATGTTCTGATTTTGGACAACATAAAACATTAATGGTCGATGGGAAATCCTTTCATTACTTTGAGGCTGGAGATGTATCGAAACCTTTAATATTGTTTATGCATGGTTTCCCCGAGGTATTTACACAAAAAAAAAAATTAATAAATAAAATAATTATTTTATAAATATCTAACGATATTTTTGCCTTCTATTTAAATTAGTTTTGGTATTCGTGGCGATATCAACTCCGAGCACTTCGAGATATGGGGTATCATTTGGTGGCCTTGGATATGGTAAATATTTTATAATCAAAGCAATCCCGATGATGTTATAAGAGTATTTATGTTTTCATTTTTTAGAGAGGTGCCGGCGGAAGTTTTGCACCGAGTGAAGTTCATGATTATAACGCGAATTTATTGTTGACCGATATACGTGAAATCATACAAAAATTAACCAAAAATGGACGTGCTGAGTGCGTGGTCGGTCATGACTGGTAACTAAAATAAATAAATAAATAAATATAAACATAAACATATCTTTTCTCTCAACTTACAAATCACTATATAATTATTACAGGGGTGCTGTGATCGCATGGCAGGCCGCAGCACAAAGTTGGGAATGGGATCAATATCAGGACCACTCTGGATACATCGACCGACTCATCATTTTAAATGGTCCACATACGGGAGTACTTGCCCATAATATTTATTCACGATTTACGGACGTCTTTCAATATCGCAATTTAAAATCTTTAATGAGCAATCCTGTATCAACTATTACCAATTCATGGCAATTACTTCAACCTTGCATTGATCAAGCGCTTAAATCATTTTATGCATTTATATTCATGATGCCAAGTCCAATAGCGGAGACCTGGTTTTCATTAAAAGATTTTGAAATACATGAAAGAATTTTTAAATCTATTCCAAATGAGGCAATTACTGAGGAGGAAATCAACATTTACAAGGCAGTCTTTTGCGCGAATAATAATGCTTGTCTTACAGGCGGATTGAATTATTATAGAAGCCAAGCTGCGAGAGGATTTTTCGAAGATCAAAAAAGACGCGGGATTAAGCAACCTGGTTTCATTGGGATCCCTACTTTGGTTATTTGGGTACGTCTGAGAAACGTCATTAAAAAAAGTCTCCATTGAATTTTAAAATTTTTTTTTTTTTTTTTTTTTGATTTTTATAGGGAGATCAGGATTTAGCCCTAAATAAAGACTTATGTACGCTTAATCTGGAAAAGCTGGTATCAAATCTAAAAATTGTACATCTTCCCGAGGCTCAGCATTTTGTTCATGAAGAATGTCCTGATAAAGTTAATGATATAATGAGAAAGTTTATAACTAGTCAAGGAAATCTTCATGATCTTGATGAAAATAAAGTCATAGATTAATATAATTAATATAATTAATATTTTGTTATTTAATTACGAAAATTATTCTCACATAAAATCATTATATATGCACCATTCATTCATAATTTTTCATCTCACAAACTTTATAAATAAATCAATAAATACAAAAACAAAAAGTCAAAAAATTTTTAATGTTTACCAAATCAAATCTTTATTAATAATGAATAAAATAGCAAAAAAAAACATACAAGATTTGTATAATCTGAATATAAATTAACTGTGGTCCAAGATTATGGTATTGATTTGTTTATCGTCCTAAACAATACCTGTTAATAATTATTGATGGAACCATATTGTATTTGATAGCCTCGGGCAAAATTTCTCTACGATTGAAGCTATGACATTGGCAACTTCATTATTAAGAAAATATAAATTTGAAAGAAAGCCAGGACAAAAATCGCTCCTATCACAAAACGTTTGTATATGTGTGTAAAGTAGCGATTCTAATAAAATCGAATTAATCGAAAATCGATTTTAATCACAACAATCGTATAAAAAATCGAATCTATTTTTGGACATACATATATAAAACTCAGCACATCACGCATTACAATATTAAAAAAGTGTTTATCTACTGTATATGGAGTGGAAGTTGAATTAGATTTTAGTTAAATTATTATCATTAAACTAGTGGTTTTACCCAGGGGGATTAGCTAACATGACGTGAAATAATTTTTTAAAGTTTTAGCATATCAAAACAGTATAAGTAATACAATTTATTTTATTGATGTTTTTTTTATAAATAATCCAACTCTAATTATTATAAGCGCGTGTTTTTTTAAATTTTTTTTTTTGAATTATTTTTAATGTTCGCCCGCGATTTTTTTTTATTTTTATAATCGCGCGTTCTAATATTTAATTTTACTTTAATATTTTTTAATTATTTTTTTTAATTTGCATATATATAACCCTTATTTTTTTAATTTAATTATTTTATTTTTATTTTCCGGATTTAATTTATTTAGAGTGTTCTCAAGCACCTAACTAAATCTGAAATCGAAAATCGAATCTTAGAGCCGAATCTTAAATCGACTCAATCGATCCCAATCCCTAGTGTAAAGTTTTTAAAAAGTTGGCTGGTACTGCGGGATGTAATCTTAGAGTTTCATAAAACGTAGCTTAAAGTCTTCATATTTTTGGAATGGGATATTCTTCTTCCGAGAGTTAGGAATTAATTTTATTCACCAAGTTTTCTTTAACAGCAAGATTCATCATTCATTTCACGAGAGGGTCTGTGCATCCTAAAATTTTATGTAAGCAAATTTTTTATTTTTAAAAAAAAAAAAAAAAAATTTAAATTTAAAATAAAATTTAAATTAAATATAATTCTTCAAAGCTTCCGGATCGATTATTTGATGAGCGAATTTCGATAAATATTTACAAGCTACGACCTTTTTCACTAAAGATTTCCGCAAAGGATTTCCGAACGTAACCTTTATAAAAGCACCCCGAAAATAATTCATGCAAGTCAAAAATTGCCTTTGTTTCAATAATATTTAATAATTTTCTAGTGTCCTCTTCAAATAAAACAGATAATTTCGCGTGAAATTTTATGCGTAAAATACAAATATAATAAATAAAATAAGTATCTTAGCCGCAGTATTTAAGTTGCAAATAATACAATCACCTGTCATTAGGGGATCTTTTGTAATTTTGAATCGTTACTGGTTTGGGATGTAGCGAATAATTATTAAAAAACCCTAACACATTCCTGGGAAAGTGCACGTTCTAAAATTCGTTCAAAGTATGAATATTATAAGTCTTCAAAGAATTCTACTTACAAAGTGACTCATATAAATTTCGTAAATCCTTTTGATTTGATTTCAAGGAAATTTTTCCAATGAGTGGTGGTTCATGAACTGATCTTTGCACTTGAACCTTTACCTTTATCCGGATATTTATTTTATCACTAGGTAAAAGAAGGCCCGAAAACGCCCAAGAGGATTGACCTAGCTTTTCAAAGATTCGTTTTTTGATAAATTAAAATTGTTGTGATTCATTTTTTTAAACCATTCGGAAAATATATTTTATTTTAACTCGTAAAATAGTATTTAGACTAAATTGACAGATAAATTAAAATCCGCCGAATCATTTTATTTCACTAAATATTAAAAAATGATTAGTCACAATATTTTTTATTTTATATAAATAATTCTGCATTTCATACATTTTTAAACATTAATAATCTACGAGAACATTAATCATTAATCCAAAACCGAAACATGATATACTTTTACCTAAGGATGGATCGGTCCTGGTTAAAGGATCGGTCCTCGGTCCATATACCGTTCCGATTAGAACTAGGGAATACCTCTCAACCGTAGAATCAGAGAACCTTAGAATCTCAGAACTACTGTCAAATTTGGATATAGGGTTCACTTTCAGCTACAGGTACTTGCGACATGTTTTCCTGTGCTGACCAACACTAATCAGAATCACTATTATTCAAATCATGACTGTGCAGATTGTGTTAGTAAAATTGGGAAAACACATTTCACATGTTTAATATAAATTTAATAATAATTGCATACGAAACGATTACTACGCCTTCTTAATCTCGCTCTCCGACATTTTCATGTTATAAATGCTATAAAGTTATGGACTAATCTGTTAAATTAAAACTGAGTTGCTCGCTTGAAGACAAGCTCATTTTATCAATTTGATGATTTTTCTCTTTATCGTCTTCATAATTTCTTCCTTTTATGTGTTTTTATTATCCCTTTTTGTTTGTTATTTGAATGTAACGAACCAATAAAAATCATTCTTTATTATAACAATGAATGCAAATTAATACTTAATTCATCCTTTTTTTATTTTATAAATAAAAACCCTTTTGACCAATTTTTTATTCATGAATCACACTTTTTATAAACAAAGAAAAGCTTGGCAAGGGAAGGGAATTCCTATTTAGTAATTTTACACCCAATCTAAATAAATCACACAACCCAATTGGTACAATTCTTATCACATTTCCCAGATATATAAAGATCTCGAGAATAATTCTCTCAGTAAATACTTTCATAAAAAAAAAAAAATAAAATAAAATAAAATAAAAGATGGAAGTTGTTGAAATTATAACAGTAGTCTTCGTAGGCCTCTTGGGAATTTTGATCTACCTTTTGATAAAATATCCGGATAGAAGTATTGGTACAAAACCAAGGACAGATCTTAATGGTCCTAAAGGCTATCCACTCATTGGAAATTTATTAGATATTCACAAAGATAATAAAGGTCTCTTGATGTTCATGTGCGAAACTTTAGCAAAATACGGTCCAAATGCGTAAGTATAATTTGCACGAAAAAAAAAAAAAAAAAAAAAGATACAATTGATTAATCAATAACTTTTTTAACCTTAGAACGTTTACCTTACCAGGCATGGGTAGGGTTATCACAATTAATAATCCCGAAGGCATCGAACACGTTTTGAAAAGTAAGTTTGCGGATTTATTATTTGTCGCTACATTGGATCAATCATATTAACTTCCTTTATATAATAAATGTACAGCGAATTTCGAGAACTATCATAAATCACCACTCCTTTATGATATTGTTTATAAAGTTTTTGGAGATGGAATTTTCAATACTAATGGGTAAAGTTGGCCTTTTTTTTATTGCCCTCAATTTCTTAAAACATTTGTTGGTCCTAAATTTGGTTTATTCTATAGAAATGCATGGAGAATGCAAAGAAAATTATCGAGTCATTTATTCAACACCAGAAATTTTCGTGAGATATTTTGCGTCGTATTTAAAAAAGATACCGAAATCGTATTAAATACCTTGGATAAATTAGCAAGTACTGGTGAAACGTTTGATTTGCAAGATTTATTTTTTAGGTTTACAATGGATTCTTTCGTAAAGTAAGTTGTGTGTGGTGTTTTTTTTTTTTTTTTTTTTAAAAAAAAAAATCAAGTTTAATTATGAATTTTAAAATTACAGAATTACATTTGGTATTGACCTTAAATGCCTGGAAAATCCAAAAGAACCGGTAAAATTTGCATCGGCATTCGATTTTGCGCAAAGAGTAATAAGCAATCGAATCGAAAATCCTTTTTGGAAATTTACGGAATTATTTACAGAAGAAGGTCGTACAATGCGTGAATCGTGCGATTATTTGTCAACTTTTGCTTATGATATAATTAAGAACCATAGGAATAATCCGGAAGCATTAAAAAACCCTAGGGATATCCTTAATATATTTATGAACGCTCAACATGATAACGGAGAAAAATTGTCCGATAAAGAATTAAGAGATGTTGTAATAAATTTTATCATTGCCGGTACGTCCTACATAATAAAAATATACATATATTTATTTATCTACGTTACTGAACTTGACCTTGCATAATTTAGGACGTGACACAACAGCACAAGTAATAATGTTTTGGCGTTCAATACTTCTCATTGGTTTATGCAAGTATAATTCTAATTAATTTTTGTCATGGTAGACGCTCTCGTGGATGATGTATAATCTTATGGCCGATCCTTCCGTTGAAGAAAAATTAGTTAAAGAAGTTAATTCTTTGCTCACGCCAGAAAATCCAATTTCAAATTATGAAAATATAAAACTTTTTCAATATACGCAGGCAGCATTTTACGAAACGCTTCGATTACATCCTATAGTACCGAAAACTCTTAGGGTGATTATCGAGAAAATTTATGCAAGTTGATTTAGCAGGATAAAATTTTAATATTTTTTGCATTTTTTTATTTGTTATAGATATGTCTTAACGATGATGTGCTTCCTAATGGCATACCGATTTATGCTGGTGATATGGTTAATTGGTCATCCTGGTCAATGGGAAGAGATGAAAGGATATGGGGAAATGATGCAAAGCAATTTAATCCCGAAAGATTTTTTAATTCTGAAGATGGATTGAAGCCAAGTCAATATAAATTCGTTAGTTTTAATGCTGGTCCAAGATTATGGTATGTAGAATAAACCGAATCAGAA